AACAGCTCTGGTTGTCCTGGGACTCACCCAGTAGACCAGGCTGACCTCAAACTCAGAGATTCACCAGCCTCTGCCTCCGGAGTGCTGGGATTAAAGCCGTGCGCCGCCACCGCCCGTCGCCTGTACTTCTTCTACTTGATTCCTTTGGCAACCACTTACTGCACGCAGCCTGTGGGCCATGTCCGGCGGAAGCACTTGGAGAACCACGGCAAACCAGCCGCATAGACCGATTTAGTGGCACCCGGCTGAGGGGGAACGCCATTTCACTGCAGAAGGATCACACTGGATCTGCCCTCCTTACTGGGTGCTTAGGACCTGTGTTTGCCAGTTAGCTCTCCTTCTCATGCGGACGGCCAAAGGGAACGCAAAGGTCACCAGTGGACTGGCAGAGGCCCCAGGACACACGAAAGGCTTGTGAGTTGGGTCACACTCTGTTTTGAAAACCTATGAAACTGCACCCTGATGGTCACCTGGGGCCATTACCTCCCCGGATCTCATGCTCAGTGTCCTGGCTAGTCTAGCGTCAACTTGACACACAAACTAGGCAGCTGCGCTAATCAGAAAATTAAACCGTTAGCAGGAGAGTTCTGGCCATGGAGCTGCCTAGAGTTTGTGCAAACAACTCATGATGAACAGAGAATACAGATGTGTGGTTCAGATGCCTGGTAGTTGGGTGAGGACGGCACTGCTCACGCAGGCTCTGCATTTCTGCCCCATTTCTCCCTTGCCCTGAACCTGTTTAGGGGAGGAAGGAAGAAAATATATGTAAAGAAGTTCGTTGTAAACACTCTTGGCCACAGGCTCCTCACTGCAGAAAAGAGGGCAGTTTACAGACACCCAGTACCCCGGTGTATCAGAAGATGCGTGCCAACTGAGAGCTCTGCCCAGGAGTGGTGAAGACTGGCTCAGTGGGAAGGGCAAGCGTGAGAGAAAGAAGAAAACAGCATCCGGTCACATCCTAGCCGTCCCAACAACAGTCACCCAACAACAGGAAGTTTCCTTGGCATTTAGGAGATTCCTCACTGGGATCTCATCTCTTCTCCCTAGCTTCCGGAAGCCAGGCTGACTCCTTAATTCTTAAAGAAGAAGGGATCCCATGGGACACGATACCTGGAAAGAGGTCTCCATTCCTAGTCCCCACGTCCTTCCCCACAAAACCAGCTTACTCGTGGTACGGAGAACACAGAGGCGGTGCTGTGCCCCTCTGCGGGCACCAAGATTTCCACTAAGAATGACTCCGTTCCCTTTGCCATCAGTCTTAAAGAGTCAACGTTTCCCCCCCGGACTCTTGTCCTGGAAGAGCGCAGCAGAAGGCAGCACAAATGCGGTCACTTATTCAATCCGTTTTCACTGAGTACCAATTACATAGAAAACGCCGTGTGTGTTGGGGAGAGATAGAGCACAGTCACATACTTCAGGGAACACATTTTTCAGGCAGAGGAAAACACACAGGCATCATACTGGACAAAAGGACATTTACATACATCATTCTGGACAAAGGGACATTTGAATCAAGCTCTGAACCACAGACAGCTCTGGGTGGGGAGGCATAGTTGGAACAGGGAATAATGAAGGTGGGGGACATTAGGAATCAAACGGGAGACAAGCAGATGGCTGGTCTGCAGACTATGAGGTACTCATGAGTAGCATGCGATTCCCCGAGAAGAGAAATGAGAGCCGAGGAGAGTAGTTTGGTATGAGATTTTTCAAGGGCCCCGGAGGCCAGGACATTTGTATTTTGATAGGTAATAGGGGAGTGATTTAAGGTCCAGGAGGGGGTGAGTGAGGCAATCCAAGCTATGGCTCAGGAGGAACGAGAGGAAGGGGGTTGCAATTGCCCGGCCAAGGGTAATGAAACCCTTACTTAGAATGGTCGCTGTGGAAATTGGGAAGGAGGAAATAGATGGGAGAGGCTTTGGGGAGTTCACTAAATGGCGCCTGGCTGCAGATTGCTCATGCCTCTTCTCACTCTGCTTGACCCTCATTCCGCGCCTTGCTCTGACCGTAAAACTGTATGAGGCCTCCCTTAACAACCAGACTTCTACTTCCTGGAAATATTCTCACCCGCATCAGGTAAGGCTTCATTTGCAATAACCATGAAGGGCACCCTAAAGAACAATTCTTGATGCTCCAGATGAGGACCTGATATTCCTCATCTACACTTCTATTGTAATTCTGCTTTCTGACCTTTAGGGAAAGTTTCCCCTTTGTTCTTAGGACCCCGCTCTGGGAAAATAGGAACCCAAAGAAACACAGCGTTTCTGGAGCTTTTGGCTGCTTGTACAGAGTGGAAATCAAGATAACAAAAGTAAATGTGTTCAAATGACTCCCAAGTTGTTCCTTTGTTCCATCACTCTGCTTTAAGAGCATCTGAGAGCTGTGCAGTATGAATATTACATATTTAGGGAAAAGGATTTTAACAATAGAATTTTTAAAACTCAATTATGAGAAATTCAAGAAAAGCAGTCACCAAAATAATTGGATTGATAATTCAGTTGTTAAACAAAAATCTAGGTACTATATTAGTCATTTCATTTTTAAAGGCCAGAAAAGCAGGAAGTATTATGCAGTTTATGTTTCTCTCTTTCCCCTTTGGTGGATAGTGGCTGAAATGAGCCGAAGTTACCAGCATGTGACAATGGGAAGCGATTCCCTTCCATGCCAAGTCTTTCTCTGGGTATTTCGCCATTGTTATTTCCAGGTGGTCCCTTTCTGCATGGTGGCACAGGTGGCAGGCACTGGGCATGCCTGGAAGGAGCGGGAGTGCTCTGGGACAACTGCACCTACAATGCAATGGTGCAAATACCAGCAGCAATGGTGCCAGGGTGCACCTGCCGCAGTACCAGGTGCAGTGGTGCCAGGGTGCACCTGCCGCAGTACCAGGTGCAGTGGTGCCAGGGTGCACCTGCCGCGGTACCAGGTGCAGTGGTGCCAGGGTGCACCGCCGCAGTACCAGGTGCCAGGGTGCAGGACTTGTGAATAAGCTGTACCCCCTCACATAGGTCGAGCCATCTGCACAGCGCTTACCGTAGGTGGCGGAATGTAAGCGCTAGTAGACAGTTGTGGCTCTGTGTTATTTAGGGAAGAATGGCAAGGGGGAGAGTGTGTATTGTTTATCACAGTTATAATTTTTAAGACCTTTCTAACACAGATGTGGAGCCAATGGGTAGGGAGGACCAAGAATGCCAGCTATAGCTGCATACTGCTTCTAAACACTGTCCCCGCGTAACTTTACTTGACTGTTGATGTACTTTCTAATGCTCAGTTCCAATATGAAGTAATTAAGAACATATTTGGAGTGTCCAAGGTCTACAGCTATGGAATCAGGACTCAATCCAAATTAGAACCAGGCGTGTGCAAACGTGAGTGTTGGCTGTTGCCCACCTAGCCTGCTTTTGGCTTGGCTGAGGGCATTGGCCTCCTTCTGTAGGAAACACTAGTGCACAGCAAGAGAGGTATTCAAAGTATCCTTAAAGCAAAGTAGTCTGGGAGGAGGACTTTTCCAGAGCAGTATAACAAAATAATATATAAAAAAATATATTTAAATTTATATACATATATATGAGTTTGCATAATTTGATATGGTGTTTTAAATCACAATAAGAAAAGCATCTGGCATTAAATGCACAGAAGTCAGCCGCTTTTTGAGGAGGGTAGAATAAATTAAAGTCATGCATTCTGTTCAGAAAGAAAGAAGAAAAGAAGGAAGGAAGAAGGAAGGAAGGGAGGGAGAAAAGAAGAAAGGAAGGGGGGAGGGAGGAGGAAAGGAGGGAGGGAGGGAAAAAAGGAAAGAGGAAAGGAGGAAGGAAGGAAGGAGGGAAAGGGAAAGGTCAGTTCTTAAGTGCCCACACCACTTATAAGGAATGACTGGGAAGACACCTACTTTCAGAGATAAGCATTTTATTTTTACTTTTTCCCTTGGGGGAAAGGATGATTTAAAAGACAGAACAGCGCTGTGCTGTGCTCTGAATTCCAGGAGACACACACTCCTGTGAGCTCCCTAGGTCCAGAACCACATGCGCTTCCTTCCTGGAAAGACAGGTTTCTAAGGTGGTGTCTGCTCTGCGGCCGAGGGATGGCTGCCTTGCCTCTCTGTTGTTGCTAATGAAAAATAAGAGACAAAGAAATAAAAGAACTAAACAGACTGCCTTCTTGGGAAAGTATTCAAGTAGAATCAAGACCAAAAGGACTAGGGTAGGGTCAACCAATCACAGTCACCAAGATTTGGCTCCCAGCGACATGAAGGTTGGTTAAGGGTCAGAGGGACACCAAGGTGGCAGTGATGGGATCTAACAGGGAGCGCTGCCCTTGACTGGCAGGAAGGCAAGGCCAAAAGAGAAAAAAAAATCAGCAACAGAAGTCAACTTCTTGGAAGGGTGAGATTGTCATCATCTGAGCGGGGCAAGAAATGTTGGTAGTGTTGGTCACTGTGTGTAAGGACAGACGGTAACTGGGCGGCGCTAGCGTGAAGACGTTCCCTGGGGACACAAAGAAGCTTCACCTTCGAAGACTGTGACTAGGGACTGGCCTTGAAGCTGGAGGGGTGTTAGGAGACAATGGCTGTGAGTCTCTCGTTTGGGGACACCTGGCCCTTCACACTTCAATCCAGTCAGTCATTGTAGCCTCTTAACAGGATGGCTATGTAGTCCAGACTGCCCTCCAACTCAGCTTCTTGCCTCTGCCTCCCAAATGTTTGGATTATAGCAGTGATAAAGTATTTTAACTTATCTATATTTAAGAAATCAAGTGTAAAGGTCTATATCTAATGGTAGGGTGTGTATGGATGGGTTCCCGGGGATCCAAAAACTCCCTGATACCACAGTAGCTTCCAAGACAGGGTCTCCACTTGTTACCCAACTGAACCCAAGACCATAAAATAATTAAGATCCAGTGAGGAGAGTCTTTAAGATAGAAAAATTAAGGCCCATGAATAGGACAAATTTTCGCTTCATAAAATCAAAGCCTTTTAGCATAGCTTGCGGACATAATACTGTACTTACATCAAGAGCCACAGACTGCTTGGCCCAGGACTTCTTCACTTGATCGTACATAATTGTGTTGTTGATGCCAAGGCCACAAAAGATGACAAAAGCCTAGGACACAGAAAGCCTGTTAATTAGAAACCATAATAACTCACAGACAAAATCTAATATGAAAGCCGCGGGCCACCAGAGACAGTTCTGAAAATATAATTTTATTGTGCTCAGAGGTGGGCCTCAGGGAAATGTGCATTACAGTTCTTAATTACTATTGTCATGTAAGAGCTTTACAGTTCACATTGCACACGAGGAAAAAAATCATTACTTCAGTGACACCGTGAAGAAATAATGTCACACGTTTGGAACCACACGATGTGTTTAAATGTGATCTTAATTTATGTGGGCAGTAGGCTGGTTTTAATTATTCTATTTTATTTAACCAGGAACAGCCCCTTTCAATAGCAAGGTTACAAAATAGTTTGGCCAAGAAAGTAAGAAAAAGAAAAAGCCATAAGCAGAGAGAGCTAAGGGCAAGGAGACTGACTTGGAATCAGCGGCTAGCACAAAGATGCCAGGAGGCAGGATACTGCTACACTCGGTGGGCGGACTTCAGCACAAAGATGCCAGGAGGCAGGATACTGCTACACTCGGTGGGCGGACTTCAGCACAAAGATGCCAGGAGGCAGGATACCGCTGCACTCGGTGGGCGGACTCCGGCCCAGTCCATGAGAAAGCACAGCACAGCTGACCTCTTCTGCTGTGACACAGGGAACCGAGCCTTGTGGACTAAAGGACACGGGGAACATACACCTGGCAGCGCCGGCTAAGGGTCTCATGACTGGACACATGGGAACAAGACAGGGGTGGTACTATCAGACAGACTCGGAGGGGATTCAGTTCTGCAATGAGACTAAGACAGAGCGATCCAAGGCCACAAGCTAATCCGATGAGCGGAAGCACAATCAGATTTTGCCTTGTGTTTATATAGTCTTTAAATCTTCCTCTTTGCTGGTACCCCGTTTAACTACATTAGAGAGATTAATGTTTACCCTAACAAATGCGGGCAAGGAAACGGCTGGCAATTTGGTCCTGGCCCTTGGCTTTTAAGTCTATTTGCTCACCTCAAAAAGCCGCTGGTCTGCATCATCAAAAGGTTTCCCGTCGAGTCTGTTCAGCACTTGAGCGACCCCTGTTGAGGGAAAGTGGAGACAGTGGTCAGTGTGAGTACTGGGCACTGTGTCACTGGGAGAGAACAGGCCGCAGCTAATTCTATGTATAGCTTTAGCACACTCATTCAACCCGCCTCCACGCTGGAGGTGTGATGCAGTTGGCAAGTATATTCGAATATGTACACACTGTTTTACATATATCACTGAATCTATTTATCTCTGTATATAATATATAATTACCCCCCCACATGCTTTGGTGTTTGGGAGGGGCACTGTGGCAGAGTGATCAGGAACCTGGATTTAGGTAGATCCTTAGTTCCAATACCAACTGTGTGACCTTGATCAGTGATGAACTTCCTCATCTGTGCAAAAAGAGTTAAAACACGAACTACCTCAAAGGATTATGAAGATGTGAAATAAGTCTTAAATTTTCAACATGCACACTCAAGACATACAACATGATATTATGGGACACACATAGATCAAAGCAAAGTTAGTTCTGCTACCTGCTACCAATGGCGCACACACTCAACAGTCTCAGTTTATGAGGGCTTCCTCTTTCCAAATACATTCCTGGCATTCTACCAGAAGTGTTGGTGTTTCACTTCCAAAAACAACAACAACAAAAAGACAAAACAACAATGCTCTAACTGAAAACCTCAGTGTGCTTCCATTTAGCAGAAATATGCAAAAAAAAAAAAATAGCTATGATTCGCTGGGCGGTGGTGGCGCACGCCTTTAATCCTAGCACTCAGGAGGAGAGACAGGTGGATCTCTGAGTTGGAGGCCAGCCTGGTCTACAAAGTGAGTTCCAGCAAGGTCAGGGCTACACGGAGAAACCCTGTCTCAAAAAAGAAAAAAAAAAAAAAAAGAAAAAAAGAACTCTGATTCTAAAGTGAGCCTGTATTTTTTTAAAGTACCTAACTTCCCCTGGTGAACTGACCAGATTCTCAGCAACATATAACTAAATGAAAAGTCCTTAGCATATAAGAAGAAAACTATAGCTGGACTTTGGAGTAATAGCAACGTTTATCATTAAGATTGAAATATAGGATTATATGTGAGGTCGCTATTCGGTTAACATACAATTTGTCTTCTATGGACATTTTCTCTCCTTTAAATATGGATATATCTAAAACTTTATATATGATGTAAACTAATTCCCCATTTGTATTCAGGCTTAGCGTCTAAGATCCTAGAATATTCTTTATGCTTAATAACCTACTAATGTGTTTGTACAAGCTAAGCAGTCCAGCGGGAAAGACGTCCCCCAGAAATGCAAGACTTGGGTTACAGGTGTATCTCAGTTGTCCAGTGTTTGCCTCGTGAGCAGGAAGGGCCACCTGAACTGAGGGTGATGACGCACACCTGTGAGCTCAGCACTCAGACTGCAGAGCCAGGAAGACCAAGAGTTCCAGGAACACATAAAGCTCTGCCTCCCCCCCAATCTGACCTCGACAACTCCCAGGGCACTAAGTCCTTGGTTAGGCAGTACTATCTTTGTGCTTAGCCAGTAATCTTAGGGTGTAGTAGAGAGAAGCAAGGTTGTATGCTATGTACCAAATACATCCATCACCTTATGTCTCCTAGGAGAAAAAAATCACATTTTCATTGTATTTTCATAGTTTTAAGTAAATCTCTCTCCTTCATGATTGCTTAAGCTTAATCATAAACTGTTTGTTTGCCTGCATGTCTGTATTGCCTCTGGTATTTTTCTGATTGAGTTGTTTAGTTTTGTTGGTTTGGGTTTAGTTTTTATTTATTTATTTTTGAGGCAGGGTCTCCTATAGTCCCAGGATGGCCTTGAACTCACTGGGTGGTTGAGGATGACTTTGGTCTCTTCCTGCCTCTCTCACCAAAGTGCTGGTTTCAGCTATGTGCCGTTGTGCCAGGTCCCAACTCTTTTCCTAGGTACAGGGAGGGAGAAAGATGTCGGAAGCTGCTTTTGCCTGGTTTCCTTACTGTGGGGGAAAGTGTCTCTTTAGAGACGTGCCAGCAAAGTTATGTGTCCAGATGTGTCCAACACCTCTGCACCCACACTACGTGTGAAAGCTCAGACATGGACATAGACATGCTCGGAAAGTTAGGACTCCTCAAGTTTAATCTTGATCTCTTATTAACTCTAAGTTTGTGGCTGGTTCAGTCTCTCCTCTCCTCCCTCTCTTTCTCTCTCTCTCTCTCTCTCTCTCTCTCTCTCTCTCTCCCCAATTCCGTCTCTTTTCTTCAGTGTCTGCCATGTAACAAAGTTCAGAAGGTAGGCTCTGAGAGCCTTTCCAGCTTTGGAATTTACTAGAGCTTTGAGCTCAGTAGATAGTTGTTCCTATTCTAATGGATGCCCATTCGTTAGTAGTCTGTGCTTATGAAATTGTAGAAGAGTATGGAGACAGAGCTTGGTACGTTCTGGGGAGCCAGAGGAGGGATGGTTGTTATGAGCCCCAGGCTAGCCAGAGGTCAGAGGCAACGTGTGTGTGTGTGCGCGTGCACACACACACACACACACACGCACACTCTCTCTCTCTCTCTCTCTCTCTCTCTCTCGCACACACACACACATGCACTCTCTCTCTCTCACACACACACACACACACACTCACACACACATACACACGCATAACGGGGGACACATAAAACTATACGGGCCTGGTTTCCGTTTTAAAGAAAGGTTGCCCCACAAAGAATCACATGGGTAATGTCTTACCAATTATTTGGTGGTTGCTGTTCCAGATAGGGACACAGAGAACAGATCTTATGTGAAAACCAGATATCTGGTCGGCCTAGGGTAGAAAAAAGAAGCTAGTTGTCATTAACTATTAACTACCCGTGGAAAAGTTATTTCTAATCACAGCACCATAACATTTTTTGAGACAGGATCTGGTGCTACCCAGTCTAGCCTTGAACTCACCGTTTTCTCACCTTAGCCTTCCAGAACAGAATGCCACAGCATCCATTATACCTAATCTTTTAATAAACACACTTACTTACTCTTTTTATTATGTCACAACGAGCAGCACAAGAAAATCGAATTCAAATGGAATCAATTTGTTGAATAAACCAAACAATGGAAAATTGGCCTGACTTGCCCAGTCCCTGCAACCATAGAGAAACGGGCCACAGTTGTGGTACCAGACAAGTATTCTGCAGTGGATTCTGGGTAATTAATACATTTTAATTAGACCAGTAGTCAGTGTTTAATCTTTGACTGGGCATACCCATTGGTAAGAATGTTTGAACCTACAAGGAAATGTTTTATAAACACATTAGTTTTTTTTTTTTTTTCTGAGAAGACAGGGTTTCTCTGTGTAGCTTTGGAGCCTGTCCTGGAATTCATTCTGTAGACCAGGCTGGCCTTGAACTCACAGAGAACAACCCACCTCTGCCTCCTAAGTACTGGGATTAAAGACATCTGCCACTACTGCCTGGTGCACAGTAACTTTTAATACTACATGTTTTAAGATTTCTTTTTATTATTTTAAGTTATGTGTAAGTCTCTCGGTGTGGGTGTGGGAATGTGTGTGTGAGTGTGGGTGTCACATCCCGAGCTGGAGTTATAGGCAGTTGTGTGGCACCTGACGTGGTTTTGGGGACCTGAACTTGGGTCCTCTGAATAACAGTGCCCTTCACTGCCCGGCTGTCTCTCCAACCCAATACTACGTAGTTTGAATCTTGCTAAGTTGTTATGAATGTTGTAAAATCCCATAACAAAAATTTAAAAACAGAAATTGTCTTTCTCTTCCTTTATCCTGGTCTCTCTCTCTCTCTCTCTCTCTCTCTCTCTCTCTCTCTCTCCTCTCCTCTCCTGGCCTGTTCAGTCTGCCATACTTGTTCAGTCTACTGCTTTTTCTCCCTGCTTGGAGTCTTCCAGATGCCTCTAGCTGTGCTCTCTCTCATACATACAGTAATAACTTACTCTTAACCATACCATGGAGGGGTCATACATCTGGTGCCAAACCCCTTAGTTTTCATGGTGGGTATACATAGGACGTTTAGGAGGGGTGAAAGGGAAGGGGAAATGGTATAAGTATATTACAATCTTGAATATTGTTTAAGTTACTTAAAAACTAAAAAGAGGCCGGGCGGTGGTGGCGCACGCCTTTAATCCCAGCACTCGGGAGGCAGAGGCAGGCGGATCTCTGGGAGTTCGAGGTCAGCCTGGTCTACAGAGCTAGTTCCAGGACAGGCACCAAAGCTACAGAGAAACCCTGTCTCGAAAAACCAAAAAAAAAAAAAAAAAAAAAAAAAGATAATGCAAAGTGAGCAAGCCAGTAAGCCGTCTTCCTCCATGGCCTTTGCTTCATTTCCTGCTACAGGTTCCTACTTGGAATTAATGTCAGACTTCCTTTCAGGGTGTATNAAAAAAAAAAGAAAGAAAAAAAAAGAGAATTCCAGATGCAAAATAAACAAACTAGAACAAAAAGCAAAAGCATAAACCATCCATCCAGTATACCTTCCCACAGACAGTTATTAATGCCTGCCATGTGCATTGCCGGGTATTGGGGAGATAAAAATGAACTCAGTCGCTATCCTTGAAGAACTCCGTCTACTAAAGACAGAAATAAAGATGAGATATGTGTCCAAGCAGGCAATGTTCGGAGCACAGTATTTGAAAAAGCTCCAAAAGGACCACAGAGAAATCAAAAATAGCTTTAGACCCTTTAAAAACAAATCTCCGACGATGGCCATGAAGATAACATTTATTGGCTGCTCACCGTGTGCCAGCTCTCCCTTCAGCACTTCCCCGTGAATTATTTTATACACTTTCCGTACCAATGAGGTAGGTACTGTTATCATCTGTGCTTATCAGATAAAGCTTAGAAAGATTAACTGCCTTGAATGGAAGAGCCCGGCTCCCAGGAGGCCAGACAATAACAAACACATCCATCAAAGTTATCTTTCGAAAGAACAGAATGGCTTTCTCCCTCTCCCTGAGGGTAGCATCAGAATGAAGACAGCAACAGCAAGCAGGAAGAAGAGGCAGCCAGACTGAGGGAGGCTTCCTGGGTATAACCTATGTGTTGGCAGCCCCAGCCGCTCTAGAATAATCGGGCCCACTTTATTTGGCCAAGGAAGGTGTCACACAGCACTCGACAGACAGTGGTAGTCCGAGCCAGTACAGAACATCAGGTATGCTAGTCTCCCTGTTCTGGGACCACAGAAACCCTTATCTAGTCTCTCCCATAAATCCCAGGTAGCTGAGGGGTGCCTCACATCCAGAGTGCACAATTGGAAAGGAACATTCAGAGAGACTGAAGAGCTCTGGGAGTCCAGGGGTGAGAAAAACAAACCTTTCTCTGGCTGCTTGCCAGAAAGAGAAATTTGTTCACCCATCGCTTTCAAAGCATTATCTTCACCACCAATATTTCTTTATTCTGGGCATAAGAGCTCCCCCATCCATACGGATGAGGACATGGAGATGTTTGGCTTGGGTAAAGGTGGACAATGGGGAACTTGGGAAATGAGACCCCGGAACTGAGACGACAAAAGAGCGCAAGAGCATTGTGCGGATAAAATCGCCAGGTCGGAAGCTGTCCAGAAACATAAAAAACGAAGACTTGAGGAAGGGAAACTGGGAGGACGCACCACCTATGACTCAAAGGGACAGGGACGGGACAGGACTCCTGAGCCTATGATCTTAACCCAAGACTTTACGATGCTTCTAAAACGTAAATGTATTGCTACAGTCTTCTTGGAAATTGATTTATTAATGTGTACCTGGCACATAAGAAAGTGTAAGTAACCTCCGACTTATTGATTCCATGTATAATACCATATGTCTTATGGTAACTGTCAAAATTATGCACAAAAACTTCCATGTAAGAGTACGAACCACAGAATTATATATCATAATGCTGTGTCAGAAATGGCATTAATATTCAGCAGTCAGTTAACTAAATCATAGCACATCCAACAATGGCATGTTATGCATCTGATTAAAGTCGTGCTACAGAATGTATCTGGACATGGAAAACATTTCCTCTATTAAGTGATAATTGTGCATGCATCTGTGGGTATGCAAACACGTATATACACTGACAAATCCTTCAAAAGCCATAGTCACAATGATTCCCTCTCAATTGCTTACCGCTGACAGTTTAAAAGTGACCAATCTAGTTCCTAAATTTTAAATAAGGGCTGTGAATTACTTGTACATAAGAAAAAATTAAAATAGAACAAACCACAGGAGCAACGATGTTCAATAGCATCGAGTGATCAAGCAGGATAAGAGTTCAATTTCTCAACACGTGGGTTAATTAAAGGCAGACACGGGGAGGAGATGAAGGGGTGGGATCAGGAATAACAGCCAAGTGTAGCAGAGGAAGGTCAGAGGAAGCTGTGTTGTGTTAGAGTCTTTAATCTGCTGAACCCTGGAGGAGCCGTGAGACAAGAGAGAAGGTTGTGTCTTTACATTTCTCTCACAGTGGTTCAACAAAGAGGTTCTCCACAGCTAAGTGATCAGTGAATGGATGTGTGGTGTGTGTGCATGCGTGGTGTGTGTGTGTGTGTGTGTGCAATGTGTGTGCATGCGGCGTGTATATGTGTGTGTGCGGTGTGTATGTGGTGTATATGGGTGTGCATGCAGTGTGTGTGTGTGTGCGGTGTGTGTGTGTTTGTGTGATTATCACTTTTCATGATTTTCATAAAATGAAAGAGAAGACAACAAAGAAAGGAGGGAGGTACCAGAGTATGAAGAGAGCATTTTTGATTTAAGATCATTAAGACATTTCTCTCTCTGCTGTTAGTAGTAAAATAATGTTTATGGGAAGTCGTACTAGTCTGGGTTAGTTGATGGAGGATAGAAACTTGGTATCAATGCCAACTTGCCACAAATTAGAATCACCTGAATGGGGAGACTCACCTGAAGAGTTTGTTCTGATTTGATTTGTCCTGATTGTGGGCAGCACCTCCCAGTAGAAGCCCAGATTAAAAAACAATATTTCAGAAAGAAGCCTGTCTAGCCCTTTGCTGGCTTGGCCTTCCTCTTGCCCCTGAGTTGATTTATTCCTGCTGCTGCTGATTCTTTCACATACAGTAGAATCAGCATTCCCAAGCTTCCCTGGTGGAAGAGGGAGCATAGACTACCCAGACATTTTCTGGGCTTCCAGCACTAGACTGGGACTATTGCCTTAAGGACTGAGTAACTGCAGGTCCCCCCAGAGAGACTCAGCTATTCTGGGACTGCTCTGAGTACTGAGGCAGCCAGAGCTAACAACTGAGTAAGGGTTCTCAGCATCTCAGGAGTAATTTGACTAGCATTGTTTAAAGATCACTTAATAAATTATATATATATAATAAATTATATATATATTCATCTCCTTGTTTGGAGGTAGCATATCAGATATCCTGCACATCAGATATTTCATTACGATTCATAACAGTAACAGAATTACAGTGAGGAAGTGGTAATGACGTAATTTTCTGGTTGGGGGTCATCACAACATAGGAACTGTATAAAAGGGTCACAGCGTTAGGAAGGTTGAGAACCACTGCTCTAGAGAACCCAACTAAACATATTCAGATTTTGACACCACAATTGATTCTGTCTTTGTGTTTTTGTTGTTTATAATTTGTTTTACGAGAATACGTGTGAATGTTTTAACGTATGTAGAGTATTTTTACAATGCAGATATTATTAACACTAAAGGAAATGCCTGTGAAAACATTCCCACCTTGTTGTTCTACAGGCTTCCTGCCTAATTATCCTGTTTTAAAATGCGCACCATTGGAGTCCCTGAAATTAGGCTATATGAAATGAAGCAGCTTTCCTAGCAGGTTACAG